CCAAAGTTTTTAAATAAAACAAGTTGAAAAGTTGACTATTTGAGTTAGAGATTGAAAAAGGCAAATGTTGGGGGTTTAAGCCATTAAAGGGATCCCCAACTGCCAAGACAAGTTGTGTTCATATTAAAGAAAATGTTTAAAAAAAACATTTGGGCTAAACTTTATAATGAGTGCACACCATTAAATTTAAAATTCACGTTTTAGTCGAAGCTTGCCGTCTCCATTGACAATTAATTAAAACTCGATAATAATAAAGTTTTTAACGCGCTTCATTAAACAATAAGAAATTCAAAGTGCTTAAAACTATCGTTTTTGTAAGTAATAACTAAAACATTAGGTCCAAAACAAACCTCATTTAATGAATAAAAATAAAACATTTTCTTCAAAATATTTTGGTAATTACTTAACTAAATACTTTACACTTCTACAAGTTAATTTTACAGTGTTAACGCTGTTTTATTTTATAATTAAATTTTTTATGAAGGATTATTCAAGATTTTTTAATTTTGTGATATTTTTTTTATAATTACACAATTATAGCTCTTATTTTTTCTTGATTATGTAAAGAATTAATAAAACCTTCAAAACAAACAAATTCTATGTGTCTAGAATGGAAATTTATGTACTAAACAAGATAAATTGTAAAGCATACTCAAAAGCCGCTACCAATGGCTTGCGGTAGTGAAAGAGTTAGACCATAACTAAATGTAAATTAAACATACAACAAACAACTCTATTGAACTATATAAACTATATATAAAACGAAAAACCGCATTATACTGCCTTTATTTTTTCTCTGCCTGACAACTCTAATAGTCACAGCATATGTATAATTGTGTCATGATTTTGGCTGGCTTCTACAACATAAATAAATAATAAACATAAAACAATAATTAAACAAGTAAAAAAAAAAATTATATATATATATATATATATATATATATATTTTTTATTTTAATTCACCTCCTCAAGGCCGAGAAGGCCACTACAGACGATGAGGCTACTTATTTGTGGCTATAACCCTCTCTCAACTCTATAACTCCGAAACACGAACCTTGATGAACAAGGCCGCTGCGCGGAGAAACGAGTTGAGCGCGGTACTACCAGGGACGTGGCGAGGATCGAACTCCAAACCACTCGTTTATGAAGCGAGCGCTCTACCACTACACCACTACCGCATATATATATATATATATATATATATATATATATATATATATATATATATATATATATATATATTTGTATATTTTTTTACTAAATCACAAATATTTTTTGTGATTTAGTAAAAAATTATACAAATATTTAATTTTCTGATTGTAGTAGAAAAACTTTTATCTTTAAAAAAAACAACAACAAAAAAACGCTATCTTAAAAAGATATTGCGATGACGTCATATACCGAAACTGTTATGAATTAACACGCATTGAATAAATTATCAAGTCTGCAGATTGCGGCTAACATTATACAGACCCCGAGAACCAAAAAAAAATGGAGAAGGTGAGCTTCGACTAAAACGCTAATTTTAATTTTGTTGGTATGCATTCATTATTTAGTTTCAATCAAAAAAATTCAGCCCAAATGTTTTTTTTAAACATTTTCTTTAATATGAACACAACTTGTCTCGGCAGTTGGGGATCCCTTTAAACAAACAACAACAATATTGGCTAAAGAATAAAAAGAAAGTCGTTAATTTGATCAGAAATAACATGGAAAAGTGTGGTATAGAGCAAAGAGAAAGGCAATTAAGTGAAGTGATGCTAAACGAAAGCACATAAAATATAGTCGGTGGGTTCAAACCTAGTTTCCAAACAAATGGGTAAATTCTTATGATTATAAATGCCAGGCCAACCAAATTATGTCTTTACAAATTAACAGAAGATAGCCATCAACACTAAAATCACAAAATAAGACAGCTGGACTCAAATTAATTTCACAAAGAGCAAGTAGGTTTAGTGAACTTTGTAAGACTCAACAGAAGAAAAGTTACTTCAAAGACCACAAATATTAGTGAATGATAGATTTAAAGAACTTGGTAATGATGATGGTTTTTTGAGTTTTATAGTTTTTGGTACTTTAGTCATTTTTAAATTTCTTAAAGAAATTTACTCAAAGCACAGATAATACTCAGTACACTATTTAATAGCAGAAGAAATCGCCTCATTACTTTAATAAATGCTGAGTTATAACAAAGACCTCTAAATGTGGCCTTGACAATACACATCAAAAGTACGAACAGGAACACCATCCATATGCAACATGGCACTCTTAGTACTCTGATATTTTACAGCTGTTGATGAAGTCAGCCTCTCTCAGAGCTACCACAGAGATGGTAAACCTGGTTACCAGCTGGCCTCAGAACCATAAAACTGAGTTTTAGAACTGTGCCCTCATTAGGAGATAATATAGTTAATTGCCTAGTCAAAAAACAGAGACCCAACAAAAGCCATGCATTGAGTCAAGAAGAAAGTCCTAAATCGTATTACAATGTATTGTAAATACATCTGCGCCAGTGTGAGGCTGGTTAACAAATAGAATTTGTTTTTCCCTCAAGTCTTTACCTAGGAGGTATCTTCTACAAGAGAATAGCCAGATGCATTTAATGTCTACCCAAGATGAGTATTTTTATCAAGATGCCATCTCTAGCCTTTACTCAACCAAGAGCCCTAAGGCAGGGAGTGTTTTAAGTTGGTGTTGGCTTCTCCTTATTTTTGCCTATAAAAGTGTATCCTACAAGGCAGCAGGACATGAAGCAAGTTGTACTGGGTTACATGTTACCAGTAGCAGTACCTGACCTAACAAAAATATTGAAGTTCTTTTTTTTTTTATTTGAAATTATTGTATGTAACTAAAAACACTTTCTCTTCCAACTTTTTTTTTTTTTTTTTTTTTGAGTTAATCTCTTATTTAATTTTCTTGTAGCTGAAAATATTGTGATATTGTAAATATTGCAGTAAATAAATTATTTGAAAATAAATTTAAAATTATTACTGTTAGTACTTTTTTTTCCTATTAATCAAGGAAACAAATGAAGCATATACTTGAAAGTATATCTTTAGTAAAAACTTCGCTTTATGTAATTGTTATAGTTACACAATTGTTATAGTAGCATTTCACTAAATCATTTCTTTTAGTATTAAGTATTCAGTTAAAAAATTTTTAAAACTATTTTATTAAAATTGTTTTGAATAAAAATAAAAAATTCGAAGTTAAGTTACTTGGATTGTATCAAACTTCCATTTTTTATTGAATGGAAATCTGTGCAAGCAAAAATTATTTTAAACTATTAACATTAGCTTGTTTTTTTAAATGTTAGCATTTTCATTTTAAAATGTATTGATTTTATTTAAGATTAACAGCTGTAGCTCAGTAGTTAGCGCGCTTGCCTCAGAAGCTACAGATCCGTGGTTTAACACCACCTCTGGGAAAGTTTTATAACATTAGTAAGGGGGTAGGCTTCCCTTCAAATGCTCTTCTGCTGTGCTCTGTGATAAGACCATAAGAACTTCTTGGAGGACCTGGTATTACTAAATTTAAAAAAAATTATTTTAAAAGGAATATAAATTCATTAATTTTCAAGCATTATTCGTTATTTTTTATATATAAAATTCAGTTATGAAGAACTATTACTATAAAAATTTTAAACAAAGAAAAAAATTAAATTTTCGTCTACCCAAAAAAAACAATTGATTGTCAATTTCACATGCCAGCCAGTTAAATTGACTGCTTGTCTTCAATTTCTTATTTTCCACGCTATATATATATATATATATATATATATATATATATATATATATATATATATATATATATATATATATATATATATATGTATATATATATATATATATATATATATATATATATATATATATATATATATATATATATATATATACAAATGTTCATATACACATAAACAGTAAAAATCTATTAAATCAAACTGTAATGTTGCATAAATATTTTTAAATCAAACTGTAACATAAAGAGAGAATATATTTTAATCTTATTTAATTTATAAAAAAGTTATCTATACCATGATTCAAATATAAATAAATAATATTGATTATCTATATTAAGATTCAAATATAAAGTAAAAATATAAAGGCATAATATTAATTCTCTATACCAAGATTCAATTAGCATAGCCCTCTGATTTTCTCAGTAACATTTAAAATATTTGACTCTGGTTCAACATTTATATGAATACATAAAAGCGGTTTTTCTAATAGTACTTCTATATATCTAAAATGCATTATTTACTATCAAATACTAACTTTACTATCAAATATAACTATCAAACTTTACTATCAAATACTAACTTACTATCAAAACTAACTTTCTACCTAAAGTACATGTATATCAAAAAGAAAAGCACTTAATTCGTACAAAAGTGTTTTAGTTTACTCTTATCATTTGGGAAGATATGCAGTTAGACTTCATAAGTTTCTCCTGCAATGGAACAAACTACTGAAGTAGAAAACATGATCAGAATTGAAGTTTTGACCAAATGTATTCTTGAATTTTTTGACATGCTGTAGGTGCTAAAGGCTTATTTTTAAATTTTGAAGGTTTTAAAGATTTTGATCTGGTATTTTTATTTGTCAAGCAAACTGCACAAGTACATGATTTAAACTCTGCTTCCATTTCGGAAAATGATAACTATATCTGGGAAACAGAAAAAAATAGCTTATTTTGACTACCATAATGGCAAGGATTTATTAAAACTTTAGAAGAAAAAAAGCAAAAAATTATGTTTTAATTTCAAAAATATTTATATTTAATACTTAGCTTAGATTTTTATTACAACATATTTTTTTACTAATGATTGATTTTTATATTATATTATTTTTATATTATACAAAACTTTCTTGATTTTATCCTACTTTATTCTTCCTACTTCTCTCTTCTTTACTTCTAAATGCAACCTAAATTTATGAATGATATAAATTTAGCATTTGTAATTAGTAAATATTTTTAAAGATAATTTAATGTTTTAGGTTACTTTAGTGGGTTCGATGGCTCATTTGAATTTGACAAGATTGGCCAAGGTTTTTATTTAATTATCTTATATTATATATATTACATATAGTAGAAAATTTTTTTTTAATGTTTTTTTAATTAGAAATTCCACCCAATCAAATTCATCATGTTTATGTTCTTCGATTGGTACCTTCATTATTTAGTGTTTTTTTAGTTCCTGTTGTTTATGAGGTAAGTTGAACAATGTTATTAAAAACTATTTAAAGGAAGACATAAAATAAAGCAATTTATAACAATTGCTTCATTAAGGAGCTTTATTAAGAAATAGGTTTTAAAAACTAATACTTTGAAAAATTTAAAACTAATACTTGGTAAAATTTAAAACTAATACTTTGAAAAATTAAAAACTAATACTTTGAAAATTTTAAAACTAATACTTTGTAAAATTTAAAACTAATACTTTGAAAAATTTAAAACTAATACTTTGAAAAATTTAAAACTAATACTTTGTAAAATTTAAAATTAATACTTTGTAAAATTTAAAATTAATACTTCGTAAAATTAAAAACTAGTACTTTGTAAAATTAAAAATTAATACTTTATAAAATTAAAAACTAATACTTTGAAAAATTTAAAACTAATACTTTATAAAATTAAAAACTAATACTTTGTAAAAGTTTAGATAAGCTTTTAAGCTTGTCATTATGATCTCTTTCCAATGTTCTTGATTCTGCTTTATTCTCTTGACTCTGATTTGTTTCAATTTCATTAATGAAATAGATATAAAAGGCCTACCATTTATTAATGTTAACCCTATATTGCACACATTTGTTTTAAAATTAAAAATAAAATAGGCAAATTTAATGCAAATTATTAAACTTTAGAGCGTTGTTTAAAATTCAAACGCAAGTAATAATGACTTCAAAATTAAGCTGTTATCAAGCAAAACAAGCAAAATCAATAATGATAAATCAAAGAGAAACTGTTCTCTTTGATTTGATTTGCAAAGTTGATATTATTTTAAAATAAAAGGAGCAATCTGTCTTTTACTGATGTGTTGCCGTTTTGCAACATTATGTAATGCAACTTGACCCTATAGGTCAAGTTGCATGACCCATATTTAGACCCAGTTGATGATGTTATCTTGCAGATGTCAAGATTTCAGATTTAAGCTGTTTAGTTTCAGCTTCAGCTATGATGCTGAGGCTATTTTAAGTCAATTTAATCAGCTTGAGAGAGAGTGGCTGTGGAGGAATTGCTTCTAAACTGCTCTCAACAATTTTATGTGAGTGAGATCGGAGGAATTACTTTTAATTTTATAAAAGTGGGTTTTAAAGATTTATTTTGAGATTTCAATTAAATCTCAATAATTTACTTAAAGTTATGACAATTTAATAATATGACACAAAATAATTTTTGCAGTACAAACAGTTAAAAACATTCAAATAACAAAAGTTAATAATCCTCCAGTATCAGCTTTACATTCTGACACTATTATTAGAAGAGATTGTTAATGAAATATAATAGCAATGATGGATGCGGAAGATGATGGCGATAATGTCAATATTTCTTGTTTTTTATTTTTTATTATTAATAATGCTCAGCTTTTTGTTGCTGAACATTATTAATCTTGTTAAGGTTAATAATGCTCAGCAGCTTGTTTATGTTATCATAAGTTATCATAAAGAAAGAAGAAAAAGGAAGGAAGTTAAATAGAATTGTTGCAAGTGCTGTACAACCTAATGGCGAACCAATTTTACCTAATCCATTACAATGGTGGTCCAAAAGAACTACTTGCAAATAAGATATTATGTATTCCGGCAACATGAGATCTAGTTGAACACATTCTCCGCAGCAGGTGTTACTTTTGGAAATTATCAAACAAGATTATTACCTGAAAATGCTGAAAATATATTTTTCTTACATTATGCATAGCCAAAATATGAAATAATTTAAAGAATTATTAAAACTTTGCAGTAATTATAAATATATATATTTCTCTGTTGTAGGGTGATTAATATGATCAGCTTTAAGCTGAAGCTGATTGCTAAAAATTAAAATCAAAACCCTAATTGATATAGATTGTATATAGTGTTGGGTCAGAGCTGAGTGTTATTGAATGCTACTAGAATTTTGTTACCAATTAGATTTTACCAAGACATGTTGCAATCTGTTAGAAAAAAAAGCATTAATCCAGTTTTAAAAAGTTGGCCAATTATCACTATTTAAGCTTTTGTAGTAACCTTTAGTAAGGAATTTTGTTAAATGTTTTTGCCAAATCAAGAAAAAGAACATTAACAGGAAAATATGTTATGTTAAGAAATTTATAGTTTTAATTAAGTTTGTAACACACAATTTTTTGCTGACAAGTCTGTGCTAACATTTGGAGACAAGGTTGTTAGATATTTAATGATTCATAACCTTTACCATTTTTCAATAATGGATAATTTTTCAATATCAGAATATTAGGCACTCTAAAAAAATATAAATAAAAAATATTTAGAGTGGTTTTTTTAAACAGATTTTAAGTTTAATGTTAATTAAGTTAATGTTAAATATGTGTTAAAAATTTAATTCAATGTTAAATAAGTGTTAAAATGTTAATGTTGAATGTTAGTGTTAAAATGTTAGTGTTTAAATGTTAATGTTAAATGTTAGTGTTGAAATGTTAATGTTAAATATTTGTGTTAAAAAAAAAATCGACGTGCATTGTGGAGCTTCCAAATGAATGTGTGCGTGAGTGTCAGTGTAGTCATTAAAATATTGAGCACCGTAACCACATTCAGCTGGATAGCCTATTGTCTGTTTTGTTGTTGTGGTGTATATTGGAAGAATTCGGGACTCACCAGCCACAAAGAATGTATTTGTAATTGTTTATGCGTCACAAGGACTGCAAAAAGTGACCAATTGAGCCGTTCAGTTATGTAGGGAGACGTGATAATAGAATCAGATTGTAGATGATGTCATTGGGTAAGAATCATAAATGAATGTATTTATGTATGTATGTATTAAAGACTATTTAGTAGGATGAATGAAATTTCACAACTCAGGGAGAGGGGAAACCATAACTTACCCTAAGCAAATGAGAAAACAATATTAGTAAACAAATCTATATAAATTCGCTGGTGTTTTAATATCATGACTAAAAATGCTACCATGACTAAAAATATCATACAATACAAAACGATAAAATAAGTTGATAATAAAATTGTAATTAAAATGGTAATAAATGATAGTTTGGACAATATCAAAATAAAAATAAAAAAGGCACGCCTTTAAAGGTTCAACCTCTGAATCTTCAGTTTATGACCCAGTACACTAATCTTATAGTGTCGATATACAATTCTGTAAAAAATAGGCCAATAAATGTGGTACTATTTATGGTCTAAACACTAGACAACAAACTAAAAAATGATAACCACCTGTGTAACAGCAAAATATATAAATATCCTTAATGTAACAAATATATAATATAAAGATCACAAAGCTAAAATTCATCGATGTAAGAGGTAAAAAAATGTTAGTGCCATAATAACCAATTAGAATTAAGTAGTGAATGAATGGTGATACCCCTCCTCAGGAATGCACTGCGATTATCAAAGATGTTTCGGGGAGCCCAGGACCTGCACTAATGCCACTCATCAGGTGCGTGTCCTTGCAACAGATCTAACTTTTTTCAAAATTAATGGTCTTTATTAAACTCTGATTCAGCTGCACCCACTAAGTTCATTCCATGCACAATAGAAATAGACTAACCATATAAGACTTTCAAATAAGTTGTAATTGGATTTACATGATCCACTTTGAAATAACTAGGTTTATTTACTACTATTGTTGTAGAGCATAATAAATCATTGAAGATGATTGGTATGATTAGTAATTATGAGGGGTATTTAAAGAGATGTTTAGCTTTTTATCAACATCAGAGTCAAGTTTTCTTTTTATGCTGTGGTCTTCTTTTAGATAAGTAAATAACCTATTAAACAAGTAGATATTGGAAATATTTTTGAAGACCATTTCCACCAATTGTTCAATGGTAATGAATTAAAATCACGTTGATGTATATAAATGTCAATATTTTTTAAAATGCGAATTAGATTAGGGCTGTTCGTTTAGCGCAAAAAAAATTTGCATCTTTTTCTACCTGATTTTAAATTGTTCTTTTGAAAGTTTTACTGCTGATACCCACCTAAGTTTAAGGTTTAATAATTTATTGCCGACCTTATTTTTTCTAATTCCAAGGGCTGTAAAGTGTGTACTGCTTGCCATAAATTTATTATATATTTAATGTATTATATACTTTATTGAATAAAATTGTCATTCTGAAAATTATTTTAAAAACTCACTTTGTTTAAATAAAACTTAAATTATTTTTTGCATCAAGATAATTTTGGAACTTGGATGTACATATTGGTTTGCTGTGCTCGGTGGAGTTTTAATTTGTTTTGGTGGGTATAAATTTTTTTGTTTTATCTGACAGATGTAATATCTGGCAAAATAGAATTTTTTTTATTTTGTTATTTTTTTAGATAATATGCTGGTTGTTCAGAGCAAATTTATTCTTCTTGACAGTATAATGTTGTTTTTTATTGCATTTTCTATTTGTTGTTACATCAAGTTTGTTAAAGAGTATACAAGGTTATAAACTGTTTTTGAATTTGTTTTCTAATTATCTAAATATAATTTTTTTTTTTTTTTATAATATTGTTTTATTATTAAGTATAAATATTTTAAGTATTGTTATTATTTGTTTTTTATTTTGTATTTAGTTGGTTTTTTATTTTACCTTTCACTTTTTGTCTAAGTTTGTTATAAAAATAGAAAAAAATAAATAAATTCTGGTAACATCAGCAAAAACGTAAATATTTTTAAAGAAAAAATTTGCCACAGTATTTAAATCAAGTATTACTTTATATAAACTTTTGGAAAAGAACCTTCCAAATTCTGTGAAATTTTTTAAGTTTTTTTTTTTATTTTTGCTGATATTATTACTATTTAATCTGATTTGCTTTAAAAATAAAAGTAGTTTTAATTCTCAGACAGTTTTAACAGTATATTTTTTTTTAACAGTATATTTCACAGACAGTTTTAACAGTATATTTTTTTTTAACAGTATATTTCGCAGACAGTCAATTAGGTTTTTGCTCAGATAGTCTTAAATATTCTTTTTTTTCTCTGCAGATTACTAAAATATAAAGTTTTTTTTGCACATCATTTGTACATCATACTGTACAAATGATCATTTACACAATTCCATTTTAAATTTTTATTAAATCATTGAACTTTAATTTAATGAAGTTATATTATATGGAGGTAAGATGGCAATAGGGCCACTATGAACAAGAATAAGATTTTGAATGAACATATATTCCATACATCAACTATCTTATAGCCTGCAAAGGAGTGCCTGTTAATTTAAATGACTACACTGACACTCATGCACACATTCACATTGTTAGATGAAGTGAAAAAAAAATGAAAGATCGCATACACAGATATATATAGATGTTTATGTATGTATGTAATTGTGTATGTATGTATACACACACACAACATATCATAAGTATGTATATATTTTTATTAATTTATATATATATATATATATATATATATATATATATATATATATATATATATATATATATATATATATATATATATATATATATATATAAATATATATATATATATATATATATATATATACAACTTTTTTTAGACCATTCTGTTTTTATTGGTGGGTTTATTTAGTCTCTCTAGGAATTTCACTTACTGCAACTTTCAGGTATATTGATGTCATATTATAATTCTAAATAATTCAAAGACTTTTTAGTTTCAAAAAATCATTTAATTTTATTACATCATTCTATGAAGATTTAGTTTATTAAATTAGGCTTCTTTTTTTAAATTTATTGTTTATACAATTTATTTTAATTTAGAATAATTTCATATTGATAACTTTCATGTTAATCTGTCATAATTTTTGCAATAAACAAGAAAAAACAATTTTCTTTATTTTAAAATAACAATAAACTGTTTATCTAAATTTTAATATTCTGCATAACACATGCTTTTTATGGCTATAACACATTTAATAAGGAAGCATGGATAATATTTTTTTATAATCTGTCTACCATGTTTTTATAAAAACATGTTATTTACAAATAATTACATCATTAAAATAAAGTTTCATATTTATGTACAAGTTTGTACATAAATGTAAAATTTTCAAGCTCTTTCTTTGGTCATACCGACAAGCTTGCACACAGAATAACAATCAAAACTAATTTGATGTTTTTTTAAATGATATTAAAAAATCTTAAATGTTTCTGTAAAGTTTTTTTATTTCTTTCTATTTTTCTCTAATAATTAGTAAATTTTTGTTAAACATAGGTATGCAATGGTTAATAATGGCTTTAAACAAAACTTTTAAACAAAATTTTTTTTGATTGTTATTGCTATGTTTTTGATATTGATAAATCTTATTTAGTTTTCTACTTTTCTTTCACTACTGATCTCTCGTTGAAAAAACTAATTTACTAAGATTTACTCTTTATTGTGTTCGTCAATTTTCTTACTTTTGATTTCATTTTCTACTTCTAATTCATATTAATCCTTGTATAGAGTACTTCTAATGGTGCCTTCAAATGTAATTAGACCTGCTCTAGCTGCTAAAGTTGAACCTCTTCTTTTGCATCATTTTACTGTAACTGTTCCTTCATGCTTTAAAAAATTTTCTTCAACTTGTTTTTCTTGCACTTTAATTTTATCATGTTTTCTTGTATTCTTGTCTCATGCAATTTACAGTTTTTTGAGTCTTTTATTGACTGTTTTCTTGCTCTTCAATTATCTTCTTTATTCTCTCTTCTTCTAGTCTTTTGTTGGCTTCTTGTTCTTCAACCCTCTTCTTTATCCTCTCTTTTTTCTTGACTGTTTTCTTGCTTTTCAACTTTTTACTTTCTAGTTACTTTTAACTTAAAGGTTGCATTATGTTTTAAAAATTTTCATTCTTTAATTTTTTTTTTTTAGCATCAAGTACAATGGTTTCTTGACTATATTGTTGCTAGGTGGAATAATAGCATACGAAATGTGGATTATCATGGGAGATGTCACAGTCCCTGCTGTAAAAACTTTTTTATAATTAGTTGTTTTTATCAACATCAGAGTTGGGGATCACAAATTGCAATAAGGTTTTTTATGTTAGATTTATCAATTACTTACAGTAATTGATAATCTAACATAAAAAACCCTATTGCAACCATGTATGCAACCCATAATACATGTTATTAGTAAATTTATCAACAATAGCAATTTAACCTGATATGTTATCTGAAAAATATAATAAAATACAAATTTATCTATAAGCAGTGCTCCAAGTGGAAAAAAAAAAGTAACGGGATGGTATTCAGTAAATTAAAAACACCACCCCGCCTAATCATTGTTATATATAGAGATTTATAAAATGGTGGCAGGATGGTTTATACTTTATAAAAGAAAAGGTGAAGGAATGGAATTCTGCCATTCCTTCACCTTTTTATAAAGTACAAACTATCCTGCCACTATTTTATAAATTAAGTTAGCTTTTAGCTCTGCTCGCTTTTAGTTAATGACATAAAGGCTAAATAACATCAGTTATTAAGTCATAAAAAACTAAAAATTTGTTAAAAAGTATTATGTTTTATCTAAAATACTTATAAACTTAGTAATAACATAGAGGGTTCCATTAATGGTTTTTTTATTAGTAGACCCTCAGTAAAGTAAGAGAGAAGCAGACTGTGTTTTCAAAAACATACAACAATTTACTACGATTTATTAAATAATTTATTTAATAAATCATAGTAAGTTAGTATTTATTATGAGCATTATGACCATAGCAATAGTAATTTTGTAAATGACAATGGCAAAAACAACATAATACCACAAAGTAGCTTTAATACACCATAAAATTGGTTTAGTAATAATACTAGTTAATAAAATCATTTTTACCTTAATTATGTAGAATTCTAGTTTATTTTGAACTATTGACTAATTATTAATTCAGTAAATTTTAAATCATTTAAATTTACTAAATTAAAATCATGTTTCAACAGTAGGCTAACTAATAAAGCAATGACAAAATCAACTAAAAAAGAAAAATATAATTAGATGTTTGAATTTATATATATATATATATATATATATATATATATATATATATATATATATATATATATATATATATATATTTATATATATATATATATATATATATATATATATATATATATATATATATATATATATATATATATATATATCTGTGTGTGTGTGTGTGTGTGTGTGTATACATACATATAAAAGGATCTCACTTCTACAGCATGGGGCTCTTAATGGCTGGTGAATTTGAACTCAGATGAACTCTATTTTTTCAGCTTATTGTTATCACAACAATCTAGATCTTTATATATTTATGAATGGTAATGTACTCAATGAGTCATCTACCCTTTGTTGTTTAAGATTAACTCATACTTACAATCTTTCTTGGAAATCATATATCAAATTCATTGCAAAATTCGCATCTGCTAAGGTTGCATCTCTTTATCCAGCTCGACACCTCCTTATTCTAGATTCTATTCTCTATCTCTATAAATCTCAAATCCGTCCCTGTTTGGAATACTGTCGCCATATCTGGGGCAGATCTTCCTGTGCTTGTTACTTTCTTACTCCAGATTCTATTCTTTGTATGGAATACTGTTGCCATATCTGTTGCCATATCTGGAGCGGATCTTTGAATGATGCCCTTTCTCTTTTAGACAATGTGCAAAAACGTATTGTAAACATAGTTGGACTTGCTTTGTTACTGAAGATTAGCTGCTCTTGCAGCCAATCTTCAACAATTGTCACATTAATCATAATGTTGCTTTTCTTTTTCTTTTCTATAAATACGGGCGCTGCTCTAAAGAACTAGTGTCTCTTGTATCATCTACTAAATTTCATTCTTGCATTACTTGTTCATTAAATTTCATTTAATCAAATCTCATCTTTTTACTACAACTTTCAAAAAAAATCTAAATCTGAAGTTAAACTGAGTTTTACTGTCGGATGTCGAAACAAAAGTGGATCATTCTCACCAAATTGTCCTACCAGTCAGTTACATTGCTGCATAATATCTAAACTTGAAGTTCTATGGACAAGTAATGGATTTGAAGTAATTACAATTCAGAAGCTAAGGTAATGGTATATCAAACTGTATAATCAAAACACTGAAATATATTTTTAAGTTGTTGTAAGCATTTAATAATAATAATTCCTTTTCATAGGATCAAGGTCGAAAAAATGGTGAAAAACTGGATGAAGCTGAAAAGCTTAAGTAAAAGAAACAACCCTGCTGATGTTAAAAAAAGAAAGAATTTTATAGAAAATATGAAAAAGGTTTTCTGGATTGGAAGTTAAAAAAGAAAGAACTTTATAGAAAATATGAAAAAGGTTTTCTGAATTGGAGAAAACCCACTAAATTTGATTGAAAAAATAAGGAAAAATAGGTTGAGAAACCAAAATGACAAAGAGGAAGACATAGCTTTTCTTAAAAACCAGTTAGAAGAAATGGAAAGGAAGGTTAAGGGGATTGGATAAGAGATTTCAGTACACATTAAAAAGAAAGTATAAATTTAAATGTAACTATAATAAATTAAACAATGTATCTGATACTGATTCTGAAAGTTCATTAAAATCTTTTAATACCAATAAAAACAATTTAACTGATAGTGAATTTGAAACTGAGCCATAAATTGATCCTACAAATTCTGTCAACCTACCCAAGAATATCTTGCATTGTACTGCTCACACAACAGTTAGAGAGAGTTTAACTCTACATCAACATACAGCAATTCTTATCAGTATTATTGTCAATTCTGGAGGATGTATGTCTGACTTTGTATGCTCTAACTCTTCATCATACAGAGCAGCAGAGAAAGCTGTAGCAGAATCATTGTGCACTTACTATGTTATTAACTGCCATTGTGTACTTACTATGTTATTAACTGCATGTCAACGCCATATTTTTTAGCGTCATGTTACCGTTTTTCCTTTATCCAGGCAGTCATATTTCAAGACCAGAAAATAAATTACTTAAAGTTCTTAAGAACCTTTGGAATGATCTAGGTACTGAAAATCAAGATTTAAAAAAATTATTAATTCCTACTGATTCCTGGAATAATAAACAAAGGCTGAGTACTATTCAATTTTGCAGATATATAATTAGCACTAAAGTTTTTAAAAAGGTGAGTTGTAAAAACTTTTTAAATTAATTCAATTAAATCTAATTATCTCTTACTATTTCCAAAAAATAGTATAATAAAATAGTACTTCACTTATAATTCTCCAGTTTTATAATTTTTTAGTAAGTTATTAAAGTTATTATAACTTTTGTAAAGATTATCAGGAATTGGCTGAACTTGCATAAATGGTACTGTCACACACCGGCAGATTTAAACTTCACAATCCTGGAGCTGTTTATGCCAATTCATGGGTAAAAGTTTATTTTACCTAAAACTGTTTCTACTTTTGGAAAAAATCCCTGAAATCAATGAAGAGAACAGGGATGAAATCACTGAAATGACAAAGTTCGTTTCCATTTTTTACACTGAATGCTTTCTTCGAGCGGAGCTAAGTTCAGCTTCTCTGATGCTGGTACACGGACCTTATAATTGTTATAAAATAAAGATATAATTTTGAATAAATACATAAAATAGATATATTATTTATTTTTAAATTAAACATTGATAAATATAAGCCTTAACTATTAGGATATGAAAGCATACTGGCAGATAAAAAGGTTTGAGGAATCAAATAAAGCTGGGACTCAAGCTGTTTTTAAATCCATGATGCAACATACCTTGACCCATATTTAGTCATTATAGCAGTTGCAGATCAGAAATAAACATGGCGACATGGCTAAGAGACTATTTAGTCTAAAACAAGGTCCTATAGAGGATTATTCCTTAGAAAGACAGGTGTTGGATAAAGACACTCTAATTAGCTTTCATTTCACAGGATGAGCCTCCCAGTTTAGTTCTACTAGTTACAGAGAAGTCCTGGCTTGTATTTGACATGTTAGTCATGGAAAAGCTGAGGTTCAATGGATGAAGCTTTCTCCAGAGTATTGGATTTTGAATGATTGCTATCAAGAATTTGTAAGAGCCATCAAGAATCTAGATGTTGTGAATAATTGTTCAGAAAGAACAGTCAAATTAGTTCAACAACTTGTTAACAAATTACTTTCAGAAGAGAAAAGGCAGGATACGTTTTTTTTTACTCATGTGTACAAGCGAAATCGAAATGGAAGAAAAAAGTTGAATCTTGCCAAAGCTGCACTCAATAGTATTATTTGATATCTACATTTTTTATCCAATTTATTTTTGAAACACTTGTAAATTTTTGGTTTTTGTTTTGTATTGGTAAATTTTTTTTTATTGAATTCAAACAAATATTTATTGTTTTTAAACAAATATTTTACGTTTTGATGTTTTTCAATTTTTTATCATTTTTCTGAAAGTTACTTTAAGATATATTTATGAAAAGAACCTCTTTAACTTAAGTTGTAGAACTCATTACCATGTTATTAAATAGTTTTTTTTTTTAATTGGTTGAGATTTAAGGGTCCCACAAGCGGGGTAAAGTTTTCCTAAAAGTAGGGCAAAAATTGACCCTTTTGCCTTCTGTGGGGATCTTTCTGATGTTCAAAAAAATTTTTTTTTTAAATTTTATATATATATATATATATATATATATATATATATATATATATATACATATATATATAATTTATATATTTATAATTTGAGAAAAATTTAACCAATTAGATTTTACATACTAATTTAGTAAGATACATACTTAGTTTAAAATACTACAATTTGGAACTCAGACTAAATAAAAAAAGACACTTAGATCATTTGGCACTAAGTGCTACCAAGTATCACCACAACTTAGTCACATCATGACACATCATGGGTAACAATCTTGCTCTATATGTTGCCAATTAACACCAACTATAAAACAAAAAAGCAACATGATATAAACATATATAAACTATAAACACATATAAACACATCATATAACATAATTATGGAAAACTATAACTAAGAACATTCAGAAAAACGCATTATTTATGTAATATTTATTAAATAATGATAACCTTCCAATCCATGTTTAGCAACTATAAAAAACAAACGATCATGTTCTTGAACACGTGTACCATTTGTTTATAATTTTCAAGGAACTCTTGGTAATGGTAAGTCTTATTTAAGTATTGCAATTGTTCATGCATTGATTATCATTCAAAAGTTATGTTATTTATTTAAGACATATTAAGAACATTGTATAATATTAATTGTAACATTTTTCACTTAAAATTTTTCATACTTTAAATGGGATGTTTATCAATTTTGAAAAACAAACAATTATTCTTGTTCTTGAACATGCAACAGTTGACCATGAAAGAAACAGGTTTCCAATTCTATTAAACATTTGATCTTGACTTTTATTGATTGTCATTGTGTATGCTAATCTGACAGATAACTGAAAAAGTTTTGAAATAAATGGCAAAATAAATTTGATGGAGAAAACTAAATTTAAAAAACTAATACGTGTTTACTATCAGAAACACCTGCCTAAACCTTTGCATAGATATAATTGTTTTGAAAAGTACAAACTTTTATTTCCCAATAGAGTCCCAATGCATAACCCAGCTTTAAGGTCTATATTTCTAAGTAACATTACCCAATCAATTTTCAAATTTAAAAAATAAGGACCAAAAGAGTTGAGCTTGAAGTTAACATCGACACTCTGTCATGCTGGAATTAAGACCAAAAAGATCTTGAGTTCCATTCCCAGCTTATTTATATATCCCAGAATAATTCATAATTCCATTAACTATTTTTTAAGTTAACAACATAACTAACTTTTTTTTAACTAACATAATTAACTTTCACATTTTTATGACATTCATACCAATCTAAACAATGTCTCATTAAACATGTGAACCTAAATAACCAATAGCAATTGATAAATGATGTTAATCTAATTTTTTACATTTTTACTTTTGTCTTCACTTTCATTGCAATTAAATAACATTATTTGGAGTAAGGAATAAACAGTTATTTTTTTGTTAGCAAAATGTGTTTTTTAATTGGCATGAAATATTTGATTGTTTACTTTTTATAATATAAAGAGATTTTAGTTAATTTATGCAAGTTTGTATATTGTATATATTTTAGTTAGTTTATGTAAGTTTGTATATTGTATATATTTTAGTTAGTTTATGTAAGTTTGTATATTGTATATATTTTAGTTAATTTATGTAAGTTTGTATATTGTATATATTATTTTAGTTAATTTATGTAAGTTTGTATATTGTATATATTTTAGTTGATTTATGTAAGTTTGTATATGGTATATATTTTAGTTGATTTATGTAAGTTTGTATATTTTATATATTTTAGTTGATTTATTTATGTTTGTATATTGTATATATTTTGTACAAGTTAATTTATTTAAGTTTGTATATTGTATATATTTTGTACAAGTTAATTTATGTAAGTTTGTATATTAACAAATTGTAATATAACTCTTATTTTTATTTAACTGATTATTATGTCAATTTAAATATTCTTCAAAAATAGATAAACATAAAAGAACAGTTTTAAAAGTTTTAACAACTAGTATGTTTCTTTTCCTCCTACAAATCAAATTCATTCAATTCAATTCAAGATTTCAAATCAAGAAATCAAATTCATTTAAATCAATTCAAGATTTTCTTAAAAGTTCGAATGGAATTCCATTCAATTGCATGTGCAAATAAAAAGCTCATTTAAACTATTTTTCTGTGTTTTAATTAAAATAGATATTGCATTGTTTTAACTTTGCGTTATGTATGTAGTTAAAAAATAATTTTTTAAAATATATAAAAATATATAAAAGAAATATATTTTACACATATTTAAAAAAAAAAAAATAGGTTTTGGTATATAAATATATGAATGGTTAAAATTGATGTTGTGAAAAAATAGAACTTCTTGGAAATCGGTGTTAAGGCAGATAAAAACAGAAATGCTAATGCAATATTTTGCAAAATATGCAAAGTGTATTACCTTGATGATGATAGCATAGAAGCAATACTAATAAAATTAAAAGGAGCTATAAAAAATGCTGTAACTAATTTTATTAAAGGTTTGTCTACAATAAAAAAAAATAATGCCATAAATCAAATAACAAATGCTAAATATCAACTCGAAGCTGTCCGTATTTTAAATACGGACAGCTTCGAGTTAATATTTAGCATTTAATGCGTTTTTTTTTAATGTTCTTATTTATAGTTTTCCATAATTATGTTATATGATGTGTTTATATGACATTTTCAGGCTAACAAAAAATCAACCAAATCTATGGAAATGAATGTGGGCAAAAAACTGCAAATGCTTTAAAAGTATCTACTGAGGAGAGTCCGCTGTTATCTATGATTAGATCAACTTTTCTATGCTCAGAATTAAACTTTGCAACAAGCCTTCTTACATAATCAGTAAAAAATTTTGAGTCGATCCACTTGTACTGACAAGGTTTGTTTTTGACACCTTTATAGCATCATGGTTTTTTTGACACCTTTGAAGCATCATGGTTTTTTTGACACCTTTGAAGCATCATGGTTTTTTTGACACCTTTGAAGCATCATGGTTTTTTTGACACCTTTGAAGCATCATGGTTTTTTTGACACCTTTGAAGCATCATGGTTTTTTTGACACCTTTGAAGCATCATGGTTTTTCTGCCTTTCCAATTATAAACATAGGCAGTTTTTCACCCACCCTATTTCCTGCAGCTAAGTCTGTTAGACAACAGACTTAGCTGCAAAATCTAAAGCTTTCTCCCTAATGATGTGTCCACCAATCGGAACATTTCGTTTACATGCATTCATAAACCATTTATATGCAGCTTTATCAATGGAATCATGCTTTTCCAAACTTAACTTTTGTTTCTGCTCCATATTCACCAGATTCATACTTACTAATTATGTCTGCTTTATGCCTAATTTAGTCAGTAAGAGAAACTCTAAACGTTTTATCAACACTTTCTTTAGTTTGTCCTTTTTTTAAAGCTTTAAGAGCAAGATATTTTTCTTTGATTGTCAGAACTGTCTTCTTTTGTGTAGATACCATGTTGAAATTTCTACCGCACTACGCTGCAATGTGTTTGATTTTTTTATTATATTTTAATAACATTTGGTTTGTTATGTTTTGATAACGTTCCATAATGTTACATTTTAAAATGCAATGGAATGATATTAATCAAAAATACTTCGAATAACTTGATGAGGATTTTGTCAAGAGGAGTAAAAAGTTATTTCGAATAACCCAAATTTGGAATTTGGTTCAAACAACTGATGGATATTTGTATAAGTTTGTTAGAGAAAATTTCTGAGAAAGAAAGATTGCTTTTTTCTTAAATAATTTTATTTTTACGCATTAAATATTTACTTTTATTAACAAATTTTTTAATAAGATATAACTTCATAAATAAATACAAAGTTTTTGTTTGTGAATCTTTATTTCATTCAAAATCTTTATTTCATTCTTATTTTTTAAAAAAAAATAGATTATAGTTATTAATTTACTTGTCAAGTTTTTGGGTTTTATTTTTAATTAAGAAAAATTTATTATGATTTTTTCTGAAAAAACTGCTTTTATTTTTATCCTTTTCAATCAGGAAAAGAAAATTAATGAGAGCGATTTTTAAATTAACTTAAACTTCATATTTTAACATTATTGGATTTCTAAAAAATGTAGAATGGCTTCTTTTTTTATTTTAGAAATCAGTCATTTATCATATGTTGGCACGCACAGGATGTTTAGTAGTTTTGCCATTGTTTCTATATATTGTACAGTTTTATATTTTGTTAAATGTTCTTTACAAGTCAGGCCCTCATGACAATTTAATGTCCAGTGCGTTTCAAAGAACACTAGAAGTAATAATTTAATAGAATTTTTTATTTTAAATGGTTTTGCTAATTAATTTTATTAAATAAAATTTTTCATTATTAATTTAACATTGTTCATTAATTTTATTCAATAAAACCTAATATTTCTATTTAAGCATAGATGGCATTTTTCAAGGATTTTCTTCTTTTGTTTTGCCTGAATTTTGGAAATTCAGAAAAAACTTATTTTTTTAAATTTTTTATTAAAAATTGTGATGAAAAATTAAAAAATGTTTTGAAATAAAATGTTAAATGTTTAACAATTTAGTGTAAAGCTATTCTAGTCTTTATAGTACTACAAAAATTTCAAAGTTTTTCATAAAGTTCAAATGCCATCTATGTAAATATATAAATGTAAAACACTTTTCATAAAGTTCAAGTGCCATCTATGTAAATATCTAAATGTAAAACACATCTATGTAAATATCTAAATGTAAAACACTTTTCTTACTTTAAGTTCCATGCCTATACGGTAATCATCAGCCATTGAATACAAAATCAAAAACAAAAAACCCACTAAAAATTACAAAATACTGTGTAGTGGGATCTTCACTAAGACACTCTTGATGGCAACCAAAGAAAAAATCAGCTAATCTCTGGTGTCAAAAAAAGATAAAAGGAATTTATTTTTGTGTCTGCATTTTGAAATCAACTTATTTCGTTTATTTAATAAGTTATCACCTTTATATGTTAAAATGAGGAATTTTTCGAATAAGCAAAGATGGCAAATTTTTGACAAGACGTTATAAATATTGCAATGTTTTACAATTTTCCACTTAATTAAGGGTTTAAACATTTTGTCTTTTATGTCCCAAATTTCTTTAGACAACTCGGTATCATTTTTATATTTGTTAATGCTAAAAGATTTTAGGTGGTTTGCATACCGAGATTTGAATGGAGTTCCACATAAGCCAAAATATACTTTTTCTTTGTAGTCAGGTTTATTTGACGACACAGTGGCTTGATAAACAATGTTTTTTGTCAAGCACTGATTGATCATGGAACAGATGGATTTGTTGATACAATTGCATGTTTTTCCCTCATCTTTATTTTGGCTATATAATATCCTGTGGTTGTTAATTAATGATATATAATATCCTGTGGTTGTTAATTAATGATATATAATATCCTGTGGTTGTTAATTAATGATATATAATATCCTGTGGTTGTTAATTAATGATATATAATATCCTGTGGTTGTTAATTAATGATATATAATATCCTGTGGTTGTTAATTAATGATATATAATATCCTGTGGTTGTTAATTAATGATATATAATATCCTGTGGTTGTTAATTAATGATATATAATATCCTGTGGTTGTTAAATAATGATATATAATATCCTGTGGTTGTGCGAATGATGGACTTGATATTACCATTGAAATAAGCTTATTTTAATGAGTAGCTTATTTTAATGAGTAGCTTATTTTAATGGTATTTCGATTAAATTGATGCAAACCTGGTAATTCTATCAGTTATATAAATGCTGACTCTAACCGAACTAAGATTGTCAAGAAATTCTTCTAACAAAAATATTTTTAAACAATCCATTCTTCTTTATCAAGGTGCATTATCTAAATCAGGTTTCATCTGCAAATTCGCTTACCATTCAAATAAAAAGCCGATCCAATCCAAAAATCACAAGCGAAACATAATCTGGTACAACCAGATTATGTTTCGCTTTATTATTTTTTTCACTATATTATATTTCAGCTCAATTTTTTGATTTTGTATTCAATGGCTGATGATTGCCGTATAGGCATGAAACTTAAAGTACCATAGAAAAAGTTGTTTTTTCTTCGTTAATATATATGTATATATATATATATATATATATAATATATATATATATATATATATATATATATATATATATATATATTTGTTAATATATTCAATGTGTAAATAAATTTTGGTTTTTCAGGGGGGTTTATCAACTATAACTCAAAATCAAGCGGAAGGTATGATAAAAAAGCTTTTCAATTTATATCAGTTTTGAAACTCTCTTATTCAGTTTTGAACCTCTCTTTCAGTTTTATGAATTCTATGATTTAAAAGTATGATTTTTTAAATTAAAATTTTTTAAACTAAATTAAAGTTGAACTTGAATTTAGTTGTTGCATATGGATCACAAATTACTCTTCGTAATACTCATAGTAAGCAATGCTGGCTACACTCTCATCAGGATTTGTACCCCATTAAATATCCTGATGGTAGAGGTAGCAGTGCACAACAACAAGTCACATGCTATGCATTTAAAGATGTTAATAATTGGTGGATTGTAAAGCATCCAGACAGGTGAGAAGTTCAATAAATTCTTAATGATTTCTTGTGATAATTTCTTATAATTTTGATGATTACTTTAAATTATTTTTAGTGATAATTTAATGACAGATTTTCCTCCTCGTCCAGTGAAAAATGGTGATATTATACATCTTGTTCATGGAACAACAGGGCGTGGGTTGAACAGGTAATAAAATAAAACATAGAACAATAATAAAACAAAGTTCAGTTGTCATTAAAAAATTTTTGTTGTTACTGTTTTCTATGTGAATTGTGAATTTCTTTTTGTTGTCTATAAGGTGAATGAAAACATGTATAGAATTGACTTATTATATTTTGAACAAATTATATTTTTCTTATTGATTCTAATTAATTAGGCCATCAATAAACTCCAAGTTTTTTCATAAGTTTAGTTTATCTATCAAAAATAAAAATAATAGTAAATGTTGCCATATAAATTGATCAAATTAATTTGTTACTTTGCATATAAATCTGTTACTCTTTTCTGTTTACTTAGAAATACCTAATACTTGTTACTTTGATCTGATTATCTTCACAAGCTTTTGTGGTCTGAAAGTCAATTAAATTTAATTAGTTTATAAAATTTTAAAAATAATTTATGTTGTACATAACAGTAACAATTTATTTAAAATAATTTACCTTTTTTTTAAAAAAGTGTTGTTTTGTTTCCATTATTATTTTACATTAACAATTTATTTAAAATAATTTACTTTTTTTTTAAAAAAAAAGTATTGTTTTGTTTTCATTAATAGAAAATAACTCTAATCTACCTTAAAAAATTATAATAATAAAAGTTAACCATTATTATGTTGATTTTGTGTAAACTTTTTTGTGCGTGGAACTTACATTCATTATGTTGATGATTTTTCACTATTTCAGTGACGTTTTTGGAATAATTTTATAATATTTTAGCATAATTGATTTAAAGTTATTATTTTCATATTATAAAATAAAAGAAGTATTCACTTTAGGATTCCTATAATATTATATGATAGATGATCACTGTTATGATATATAATATTATATGATAGATGATCACTGTTATGATATATAAAGTTCAAATTCTTAATTTAAGTCATGATGTTGCGGCTCCTTTAAACCCACAGTTTATGGAAGTTTCTGGATATATTGATCACAATGTTTCTATGGATGCGCAGTTAGGATTTCGTTTACAAATACTTAATGCTGATAGTTCAAATATATGGAAAGCAATTGAATCTAAAGTGCGCTTTGTACATGTTAATACAACAGCTTCATTAAGGGTAACATTAGAAATTAATTTTTATTTTGTGCAACTTATATGTAGTAAACAGAGAAAATGTGTTCATGTTTAATTTTTAAAATATTTTTGTTTTAAGGTTACGGGCCAGCTTTTACCTGATTGGGGATTTCACCAATATGAGGTAAAATAAATTGTTTATAAAAAAATGTTTCATAGACATTATAATAACCTATTTATTATAATAACTAACAGATATGCAAGTGAAGATAGTTAATATAGTTTATGCGATAAGAATTTTGTAAAAGGTGATTGAAAAGGGAAGGGTGATTGATGAAGTCAAGTAAAGAGTGATTTTATTATTAATTAATATTTATGATCTTAGTAAATAGTTCTTATTTTAAAAGTATAATCAATTACTCTTGACTTCTTTAAGAAAAGGCTTTTGATTTTTTTTCATGTTTTAGTCTGCATGCAAATATTCTTTATGATTTTATAAAAATAGGAAGTCTGATTAAAATGTGAATTTCTTCAAAATTTTAATAGCTCATTCAGTTACTTAAATTTCATAACTTATAAAGTTTTATTTAAAAGTTCTGTAGAACTTAACAATAATAACTGTAGAAACAGTTGAAGAATACTTCTGTAAGTATTATAAATGTATTGGTTTAGTTAGATAAAACTATTAAAGAAAATATTTGTTAAATAATTTTTAGTATTGTCAACAAAAGCATTTTTACTTTTAACATTAAGTTTTTGCAATATTTTTTTGAATATATGAATTTTCTCTTTTTGATATAAAACTGAAAAAAAAAACAAGATAAGTATTATACAAAATTTTACTTAGTACAAGTAACATATTAATTACTTAGTACAAGTAACATATTAATTGAGTTGCACTGCTAATTTTAGGATTGCAACTTAATTTTTATCTTAAAACAATTCTGTTAAGTAACATGGGATTGTTAGAGTAATTCTGTTAAGTAACATGATATATTTTAATCCTTGATTAATCTATACAATGCAATTAGCTGTTATAAATAACAATTTTAAAATATATTGTAGAAATTAAAATTATTTCTATTTATAAAAATGTAAATCTGGGTTGTAAAAGTTATTAAGTAATACATTTTTTGCCGAATTGAAAACATGAAAATGTTGCGTTTTAAAATTTATTTTTTGTTTAGCCATTAGAAAAAAGAATTAATTTTAGAACGATCGCTTGATAAAAAATTATGCACAACTTATTTTTGTATTAAATTGATTAATTTAAGAGTCCATCATGTCTTCAAATAAACCATCGGGTGCAGCAAACCAAAAAAGACAATTTGAATTTAAAAGAGAAAATGAAAAGTCTGCAAAGTTTTTTGCGAAATATTTTCAAATAGAGTCCAAGAAAAATGAAGAAATTAGTTGCCCTTTGTCATTAGTTGGTAGTAATTTTTTTTGGACAAGAAAATGAAAGAAACGCCTGAAAAAAGTAGACAACTCGAAACAACATCTCAGTCTCTTAGTTCTACCACTACTGGTGATGTTCAAATAGATATAAATGATCCTGCACTATGGCCAGTTCCCTTTAATTCTAAAATTTATGATCACATAATTTATGTAGGAATTGATGTAGAATCTCACTTAAAAAATGTTATTGAATTTACTCAAGATCATATATGATTATAGTAACCAGGTTTGCAAATAAGAACGTTGTTTTTTGAAATCATTAATGTACAGAAAATTAAATAACAGTAAATCTTATTTGCAAACCTTACTTTATTCATTACTATATTCATCAAGTTCTGATAAAGTGTTTTGTGTTTGTTGTAAATTTTATTATTCAGATAAAACAAAATCATTGTTAGCCATTGTTGGAATCAATAACTGGAAACACATTACTGAAAATACAAAATTGCATGAAAATTCACCCGAACATTCAAAGTGTTTTTGTAATTGTTTTGAAGCTAGTTGTAGGTTTAGAACAAATAAAACAACTAAATGAATTTCACCAAACTTGAGGAATATTAAATAATCTGAAGAAATTACCTGCGGATGATGACTTACTTAAGTTTTGCAAAGATCTGCATTTAAAATTAAAAATGGAAAATAATTGCGATATTAATGGTGCAGAATTATTTGACAAATTAAAATCGGCATCCACCCTTTTGCCTAAAGATATACTTGGACGGTTCCAAGTATTTGGATTTCATTAAGAATAATGCTTACCATACCAATTACTGTTGCAAGTGGTGAGAGAAGTTTTAGCAAATTAAAGCAAATAAAAAACTTTTTACGATCTACTATGAGTGACGAACGATTGAATAACTTAGCTATATTGTCCTTCGAAAAGGAAATAGCAGCACAATTAGACATAACCGAAATAATTAAAAAATTTGCTAATTTAAAGGCTAGAAAAATTAATTTTTAGTATTTTATAAAGTTTAAATTGGTTCCTGTTTAATTTAATAAATAAATGATTTATAAATTATAAAAATGCATAATTCATTAAGGGCGCAATTTGAATACGTTCCTGGGGCGCTAGAGTTCCTCTGGACGGCGCTGCTTCCCAAGTTACAATTTATTGCTTATATTGCAAATATAGTTAAACCTTTTCTAAACAAATTTTAAAAAATATTTTATGGAAGTCCTTGCTTTTGTTGACTTTTTTTCTGAGTATATAATTCTCAATGGTGTTGAGTATTTATAATGTTAATATTTTTTTAATTTATTACAGTTTTTTTTTCGGTTAAGTTGTAGTACACAAATTTATGTAGTATTAAGTATTTAGTTTTAGATTACATACTTTTAAGTTTACAGTGGTTGTCTTTAAGACAGTTTTTGTATTACTTTGGAAATATCATTAGTGCTGGGATTTAATTCAATTCTGATGCTGGATAAAGATATGGACTTTAAAATCCTGGACAAATTATCTAAATAAAGTAACAAGTGCTGGAATTTTTTTAAATTTTGTTCATCAGATACTTTAATGAAAAATGTGATAACACTTTTATGTACAAATTATTTTGTTTAGAATGTTTTATATTTTTATATGTAAAATGTTCATTTTTTCATTTTTATATTATTTTATTTACAGCTTAAATGAAACTTTTGTCATTTTTATATGAATTATTTTATTTAGAATTTAAATAAAACATTTGTTTTATCATTTTTTATTAAGAATTTAAATAAAATGTTTCTTTTTGCCATTTTTATTTTTTTTGTTTTGTTTAAAAAGCGTTTTTTTTTTTTTTTCTGTCTTTTTTTTTGAATTTATTTAGCAAATAAAAATAAATCTTTAATTTATGCACCAGCCTATAGGAGGATCTAGGGGGGGGAGGGGTTGATTGGGATGATGCTCCCCCCCCCCCACTACTTTGATATTTTTGAAATAATTTTTTTTTATAAATTTATATATTTAACAAAGCAAGTTATTTAAAAATGGAATTAAACTAGGTAGGCTGTTTAAAAGCATTTTATAAATTGTCTGGTTTTACACATTGCCTATAACAATATATATATATATATATATATATATATATATATATATATATATATATATATATATATATATATATATATATATATTGACTGACAAATAGCCTGATTTGCAACAGAGTGCTGCTACATTGTCTGAGGGTTTGGTATGAGGCAGCAATATTTTCTTTGTTTTTTTTCTTTTTCTGAAAATTCATATTCAATTAATGTAACAAAAATATGATACCAATTTGTTACATAAATATGTTATAGTAGATATATATATATATATATATATATATATATATATATATATATATATATATATATATATATATATATATATATATATATATATATATATATATATATATATTAGGGATGTGGAGTCCCGAAAGGACTTTGGCTTGATAACTTTTTTTCATGGTCTCTGGTGTCCAGAAGCTCTAAACATGTTTGTTGATTAATGATCTGCTATAAGAAAAAAATTTATGATTTTTAATGACTTGGAACTTATTGCTTTTAAGCCCGGAGTACTGGTGTCCCGAAGTCTTTGCCGCCATTATACCTTAGGACACCAGGTTCAAAAATCGATTGTTCTTCTAACCTACTTGTTTCGGTTTTTTCCCCACTAGTAGCCCATAACCATTTTTATATTCTCAAGCTCATGGATACCAAAAACTAGAAAGAGATAATCTTTTTGTGACTTTCAAATCCGGAGTTCTTTTTTAGACTCTGCATCCTGATATATATATATATATATATATATATATATATCATATTATTTTCCATTTGACAACTGGGTTTAAGTTGGCATCTTTTAATTTCCAAAATTTTTTTGATAATTCGGTGTCATTTTTGTATTTTAGAATGTTAAATGCGGTAGTGGTGTAGTGGTAGAGCGCTCGCTTCATAAACGAGTGGTTCCGAGTTCGACCCCACCACATCCCTGGTAGTACCGCGCTCAACTCGTTTCTCCACGCAGCGGCCTTGTTCGTCAAGGTTCGTGTTTCGGAGTTATAGAGTTGAGAGAGGGTTATAGCCACAAATAAGTAGCCTCCTCGTCTGTAGTGGCCTTCTCGGCCTTGAGGAGGTGAATTAAAATAAAAAAAAATAAAAAAAATAATTTTATATGGTTGGCATATCTAATTTTGAATGGTGTTTCACTTATACCAATGTAGGATTTGTTGACAGGAGTGTTAGTAGGATTATTGGAACTTATATTGGCTTGGTATACAATGTTTTTTGTTAAGCATTTGTTTGATAAAGGGCAGGTATTTTTAGTTGGTTTTAGGTGGAATTTTGTTCTTGTTCATAATTTGTTGATTGTGTGCATTTAAAAAAGATTTCATATTCGGCATACAGCTATAACTTATTTTTATTGTGTTTCTGTTAAAAATTTTGTGGAGTCTGTGATTTTTTGGGAAGTGTTTGTTGATTAAGGTTAAAAAGCTTTTTCCTACATTAGTGCTAACATTTTTGCTGAAAGGAGGGTTGAACCATATGATGTTTCGTTTACGATTTTTGATATGTGGTAAATTTAAATTAGGGTGATATGAAAGTTTGTGATTAAAACCGGATCTTAATAGTGCGTCATTGTACATAGGAGTAGATCTTCGGAAGATTTCTTCGCTTGACGATTTTGAAGACAATCTTAACTTAATTGAATGTGGAAGCTGTTTTAAAATATTAGGCAGGTGGTTTGAATCAGCATGAATA